TGTATGTCTGCACAATGTCTGTACTTTCTCTACTGGAAGCTCCTGTCACCACAACGATTTCCTTGTGTGTGTAAAGACACTTGGCAATAAAGCTCTTTCTGATTCTGATTCTGACATTTAAAATGCATTTTGAGGTCTAGACGTGATTGGTACAGTAAAAAGTGCTCAAATTTTGGATTTCAATAGGGAAATATATATTGTCCCACATAAAACTTTAAATGCCAGTTAAAATATATGTATAGGTACGGCAAACTTGTTAAAATTGTCTTTTTTCACAAGATCAAAATATTCTTTATTAAACCACTTTGTCAGATTTAATGCATCTTTGCAGATTGTGGAGAAATGCTGAGTTTCTTCATTCAGTTCTAACAGCTCTTTTAGCGACTAGAGCTATATATGTAACAAAGCGTCTCGTTAAATAAAGGCACTTCAGTAAATTACAAATGAATACGGAGCTGGATTCAGCCTCATACTCCACAAACTGCTCTAACGAAATCCAAAATTAAAGCTCAATACACACAGCCGTATTGTGCCATTCAGCCCATTTCACAGCAAGGTTTCTCTGCCGCCACAGAGGATGCATTAAAGCGGACATAGGGCCGTGATATAAGTATACTGGACCCTTGAACTTGGCTTTATGGACCTGCCTTGAACTTGCCAAATGCACACAGTATTGTGCCATTAGCCCATTTCAAGGCACAGTTTCTCGGCTGTCTCAGGGTGCTTTAAAGCGGACATAAGGGCCGTGATATAGGTAGAAAAGCCCATTTTTGAGCAAACTGGTCTTTATTAAGCCATGTGCATCCATACTCTCATTTTCTTCACAGTAAAATTCCAGTGACGGACAGAGGAAATAGGATATTGTTCACATAAATCAGACATTGTAACGTGTGCACATGTGAAAAGTGTGAAATGTCAATAGTTTCTCATGAACACGCAAGTTTCTTGTGCAAAAGTCTGTTTATTTTTTATTTTTGCAAAGGTTTAGGGGCTCTGTAATGATGAATCTTTCCACCCTAAAAATTCTATATATTGCTAGAATATAAAGTGTGAGTTCTTTTTAGCCATGATAACGGTGTAGTGAAAATATGATATCGCACAACATATCTATGCGAGACCATATAAAAAATATTTCAGTCTTTCTATTTCAAAATTTCACATTTAATTCAATGTTACTTGTTGTTTCTTTGTGATTATTTGTGATATTTACTAGCAATTTCTGAGTGAGTGTAAGTAAATCCTACACCGAATTTTCCAGTGTATTTCATTCTAGCAGTATAAAAGATTTTTAAAACTAGTGCCCAATTTTGTTTTGGAAATCTCAAATGTACTTTTTCCTGTCTGTTGCCTTTGAAGTCACAGCTCAGAATAGTTGCTAGTAAAGGTTTTATAACTATATGTGTTGTTGACTGTATCTAAAAAAAAACAGAAAAGGTGACTTTTTTATATAAAAAACATAAGTAAACCAAATATTGCATTTTATCATCTGTTATAACTTCTCTATTGCGAAAAATGACAAATAAGCTCATGTCTGCCCCTGCGTGACTGATCATCTCATTTCACCCATTTCACATTTCACAGAAAAGATTCATTCATTTCAGAGCCTCTACCACACCAAGACCCCTGTCTGCCTCTCTCAAAACAAAATAATGCATCTCAAAGGTCTGACTTTGAACGTATAAAGATTTAGCTGGGCAAGAAGGAACCAATAAAAGACACAGTGAGAATATTGGTCACAGACAAGCTCCGGTTTAGAGACACTTATGGAGGTGTACCTCAATTTGATGTGTTCTTTTCCAAGCTTCCTGCTGGGATACGCTTGATGAAAGTCATCTGTATTATTCTGTCGTCGTCTGTACAAAGGAGCTATTGAATCTAAGCGCTACTAAAATGTTTCATTGGAAGTAGACAAGGACTGAATAAACTTAGTGAAGCACAGAGCACAGTTACTGATCAACAGTGCACTCACATAGTTTGCTGTACAATCTGTCATCTGCCGCTTTTATAAAATTTGCGCTGCGATTCCTGATCTGTTGCCAATTACTCCTACAGAGGAAAACATCAATAAGTCTAATCAGGTCTTAAAAGCCCTGGAGGACTTTGTTAATGAAACAGTCCTGCTGGTCTTGCTACTGTCACTTTACAGGAAATATGTGATTTCCTGTTAGAAAACAGCTGCTGTAAAATTAAGACTGAGGAGCAATTAGCTTTCCAGCATATCATGAAGAGCTATAAACTACAGTACGCCCTGCTTTGATGGTTTGGGAGACATTCATCTCCAAAAACAGGCTATTGATTAATTACGATTGCTAAACAAATTCCACCTTGCCTGATTGTGTCTTGTTCACCGTTAGGTATCATAAAATACCCAAGTAGCACATTTCCATTTAGACAGCATATTTCCAGCACACATAACGATGAGCGCTCATTTAATTAGAGAGCTTTTTCCCCTCCTTCAACTTTAGATAGGGTGTACACCATTGTCACAAGCCTTTTAATGACTGAATCCTGCTTTCCCGTCACTGCCGGTGTAATTGGCTTGAAATGTGATTACACACAACGATGCCACAGAGATTTCTCTCCATTTCCACCGGCAAATTGAGGTCCTAGCACCTTAAAACAGGGAGACTGTCTTCCACGTGTACAAATAATGCACACAAAAGTGGGTTGTGTCTTTCTTTTATCGCTCATTGATGTCTGGAATTCTTCTTTATTCCCTGCACACCAGTAACAAACTGAAAGAGGACAGTTTTTATGATTGTCTCCATGAAACATAGAAACATTTGTAGAGAGGAGTCTGTATTATATTTGTGTTGTATATAGGGTTGGGCACCGAAACCCGGTGCCTACCCGTATGTACTAGAACCGAATCAGAACGCAGATTTCGGTGCCACTTAAATGCTTGAGCGAAAGATTGAAATATTTGTTCTTCGAAATGGACGTAAGGATCACCGTCACCGCACGTGAAAAATAATTTCTCGACTGAGAAAATTCACGCACGTAAGTCGGAAAAGCTCTAATAATACAAATCCAACACATATTTGTAGTAACGCGAGTGTCCATGTTGTTTTCACATTCCAACTTAAAAGCACAACTCGGGAAATAAGAGCATCCGAGGAGCGCGTGAATGCAGTAATTACACTTGCTCTGA